GGCCCTCTTGGAATAATCACACATGGTAGGTACACAGGGACAGGGGACTCCCATTAGGCAGCCGGATCTGCCAATCAGTGCTGGGGTTCAAAGACTCACATGCTTATTCCACGTTTATTAGAGGTCCTCTGCTACTACCTGAGCAATACATCTCTGGGGAGACCAAGGGTATGATGAAGAGCAGCTTGACAGGACCCTAAACCAAATTGGAACATATAACTCAACTCAATTTATATTATTCCTGGGCTTAAGCCTAAAATCTGCTCTCTAGATGACACTACTAGGCCTATTCTATCAAATCTGAAATGAAGATTTTTTATTCATACTCTAAGGTAATTTTTCTCTTAACTACAGAATATGAGTTATTACACTTATTGAAAGGATTTAGCTATGTAGCATTTATTACTAATCAATATATTTGTTACAATTCTTAAAAATGTGGCTGGATGATTCTAAATTATTTTGCAATAATTATTCTTGCTATGATCATATAAATCTCACAGTTTTAATCAGTTGTATTTTTCCCCCCCATGAACTGTAAACTCTGCTATTGTGGATAGCTAGGTCCCTGATAAGGAGGCTCTGGTTAATCTAGCAGTGTTATAAAACAGATCAGATTTCCAGTTTGCAATTAATAAAAGTATAATTAAATACATGAAGGCAAAGCAGAAGATAATTTAATCTTGCTGCTATGATTCAGAAGTCTGAATGAATATCAGGGTCATCATTGTAAACCTCAATTATAGTATTGCAGAAATGTAGGGAAATTGGTGAGTGGCATTCAAGTTGCAAGAATGCCAGAGACCAGATTTTATTGCACGTATTTGTAACATCAGGTACCACATTCACTGATTCCCCCAATTACTGATCCTAGTATAGGACCTTGTAGAGTCCCCCATAGCTAATCTTAGCTAACTAATTCCATTTTCCTAGCCTATAATAAAAACAAACAAAAAACCAAGACTGTTTCATTTTCATGGGATTATCCTATCAAAAAATGTCTCCCTAAATAAAGACCCAATCATATTTTAAATCCTATTTATGAATATATTTGGATGTATTCCTTTTGGTATAACCTGTTATAGTTTCCATTTACAGTTTATACTTTATTTTCTTTCCATACTGTACTTCATTGTTTAATAAAATATACTGATTATCACCCTCCTGTCCCATCAAACTATTGGAGCATCTTTTAAGAGGTTATTTATGATTTGGTAGCTAAACTTTTTTTTTTTAAAAAGAAAACTATCATTACATTAAAATTTTCTACAGATCTGAGAACTGTTGGTTGTTTCTAAAAAGCCCCTTTACATTGCTCAAATAAATCACAATATTTATAGGTCTTTGCAGTGTTTTAGTACGTATGTAAGGTTTTCATTAGGAATGGGAAATAAATCATATTTGCTTGCTTTCCGCACACATATATTGAAAGGGAAAGATGAGTTTTTTTTCTTTTCCTTCCAAACTTATCACTAATAGTGACTAAATGAAGATTTGGTAAGATAGGCTGAATTAACTCTAATTAACTCTAAATGATCTCATTTGTACAAATTTTAGCATATGACTTCGGGCTTCAACATAGTCATGATGTCACAAAATTATTGCTATAACTCCTGCTATCACATCTATGTTCTAGGCAAGAATAGGGCTTGAGCCAGCCCTGCCAGTAACCCATCACCAGACACACAAATAAGGAGTTTTCCTGGAAGTCCCATACAATACCTTCCATCCAAGTCCCATACAATACCTTCCATCCACATACCATTTACCTATACTGACTCACCCCAATCTGCAAGGAAGGTTGTGAAATGAAATTTTACTCTGGACACAAAATCAGATTTCTGTTCCTAAGAAAGAAGGGGTGAGAGGGAATGGGATAGGCAACTAGCATTATCTGCCTCATTTTCTTTTTTAGCATATGTTTCCTTAGATGAACTGTGAGCTCATAGAAGGCTGAAATTATGTCAAAATAATTTTTGAAATCCCAGAACCTAGCTTGTTTTTTATGTTTGTTAAAGAAGAAAATGGAAATCTTAGCTAGCTATAGGTTAGAAGATCAAAGAAAAGTGTAACAGGTGAGTAGATGGCATTAATTTATTCCATGTATATTGTCATATATTCATTTAATTGTTATTTCAACTAATATTGAGTCCCTAGTCTGAGCCAAGCCCAGTGTCAGGTGTGGGGGATAAGAAATAGTTGCTGGCTTTAAGAAGCGGATTAGGGTGAGGATGGGTAGGATAGTGAGGGCTCCAAGAAATGCAAGTGGCATCTAAAAGCTGGAAAAAATCAAGGAAGTGGGAGACATAGAGCTTCCAGATGGAACACAGCTCGCAGCTTGATTTTAGGGCTCCGGAAGTAAAGGAGCAAGTTCAGGGTAATGTGGTAAGGGGACTGAGAAGTGAGTCACTGTTTGAGAGGTTCGGAGGCTGTACGTAGTCTGGGTGAAACACACAGTGGGGAAAGAAGGAGGGAAAAAGAAAAATAGGTGGGGCTAGAAATAAAGAAAACGATAAGTTATATGCATAAGTCCATAATGTATTCCTCGCAGCACACATACCTATTTGTTGTGACAAAATGTTTCTGCCTTGGACTCCTCACGAAATGATTTCCCAACACTACGCCCTTGATGGATCTGACCCAGCCTCTTGGCTAGCCTACAGTGAAGTCGCAACTGTGTTCCATGGACCGTATCTAAGCATGGAGCAACTCTCTTCCCAGCATCTCATCTTACAGGGCGGTGTTCCCTGGTGAACTGGTTTGGGGAATGCTGGTCTAGAATATATTTCTCAAACTTGGCATTACGACTTACGAGGGATTTCCAGAGAAAGGGATATATCCCCAGGGACTGCAGATGTGAACCTGGTTTCCTTAGTGTGCTAATCCCTTGGGTTTCAGTTACTTGGGCCACCGGGGGGACCCATGGTTTAGTTGAATTAATGAGTCACCACTTCAGCAATCTTATAGTCAAATAAGTTATCCCAATGACGATTTGACTAGTAATGGCAACACTGTCATCTCTTCCTGCAAATAATTCAATTCAGTTCGTAACATACGGCTAAAAATGTACCTACACTAATTCCTATTTTCTTTGCCTATCTAGAGATGGGCCTCCAACCACTAAGCAGAGGTCATCAAAGAGAGAGGTTCGAAGATGCTATGCTGTTGGCCTTGAAGATAGGGGAAGAAGCCACAAGCCAAGAAATGCAGGTGTCATCTAGAAGCTGGAAAAGGTTTCTCCCCTAGAGCCTGCAGATAAAACACAGCCCACAGCTTGATGTCTAACCTCCAGAACAGTAAGATAACATTCTTGTTGCTTTTGACTATTAAGTTTGTGGTAACTTTTTTTATAGTTGGCAATAGGAAACTGGTTATAAATGAAAATACGTCTCTAGGTGCTGCCTCCCCCTCACCCCCGACCCCCCATTCATTCCCACTGCTTGCCACATAAGTCTCTCTTTCTTGGTATTCTCTTTTCTGAATCCTCTCGGATTTTCTTGAAAACCAAATCTGATTATGTCACAGGGCTTGAAGTGACATGAACACTCACTGATTTTTAGTTAGAAATATAACTAGAAATATAATTAGAAACCAGAAATAAGAGTTGTTTACAAATCCTGTCACTGACATTTGGTGTGATCTCAGAAAGACTTAACAGGGATGTGATTCTAGCAAAGAAAGCTTAAAACAAATTGCACTAAACACTGAGAAAGAAGGCATTAACCACATGGGGCTGAGATAGGGAAGAGATTTTCCTGAGTTTATCCAGGAACGAACAGGGGTAAATTCATGGATGGTGGCAGCCATCAGTAAGGCACACTCTGGTTTGGAAGTGGGGATTCCTCACCAGGTTTCTGGGTCCTAGTAAGTGCTTCTCCTAAATATATAGTGGACATGGTTATTCAATCACAGTAAATTTCATCCTGATTTAAATGCTGGTCACATAAAAGTTGGTTGTCATGAGTGAGTTAACTTGTTCACCTCTGGATATATGATAACATTTATGCCCTGCTGGAACCAACAGAAACTAGGTTAAGATTCTTCTCCTGGGTCTGATCCTGGATCCTGGCTTAACAATAGCTACACTCCCGCCTGCTTCACTGGCCTCTGCTTCAAGACCCCCACAAAACAGAGATGATTATCATAGCAAAAAACAAGGAGAGTTCTAAGAAGCAGGGAGAGGTCAACATTGGCAAAGGGCATGACAAGATGGGGATTAAAATTTTCCATTAGGTTTGGCAATTAAGTGGTGACTGAATTTGTTCAGTGGAGTGAAACGTTGACAACCGAATAAGAGCTTAGGAAACGTTGACATTAGGGCTGGAAAAGTATGAGAAGAGAATCTGTGCCCTAGAGAGTCATCTTTAAATAAAATTCAAGTTTTATATTTGAACCATAGAGAGCTCTTCTTGTCCCCAAAAACCTCCAAATGTTGATTAGCCAAATTTGAGTCTTAACCATCTCTCTCTCCTCAGTTAACCTCTGAGGTAGAGGAGCTAATGAACTGTGCAGTAACTAAAGGTCAAAAAACAAGAGAAAGAAACAAAAGGCCTACAAACCCCAACTCAATACAAACAAATCAGGCCCTGAGTAAGATGAGCTGTAAGAAGTTGCGTTTCAAATTTAATATCCTTGTTTTGATGATTTTTTTAAAGTGTCTGGAGAATTAAAAGGAGCATTTTATAACTGCAATGCTTTCTTGCATCTCATCCATTATCTTCACTGCACCTCCCTGCAAATTAATAGCTGTTGCTGAGTTGTGGGCATGTGTGAGCACAGGCTGGACCAGAGGCTGAATTTTGTCCAGTGGCTAGAGTAATTGCATGCCATGAAAAAAGGTGGAATAGTGAAAACAACATACATATCTCCATTTCTATTATAGATGAAAGCATTGTTTTTCCTACTTAAGTATTTGCTCAATTTAAAGGGAGGTAAGGGCGGGGGGGGGGGGCAAGGGGTTCTGAATCTGAGCCCAGCTCTTTCTAAACTTGGTTACTCACGTCTGATTCATTCGCTGTTTTTCGTCTCCTGTCTGTCACTGCCTGCTGCTGAGAAGGGGGTAGCTGAATCACTGCCACTACAGATGAAAAGCAATTCAAACCTAGTCCTTGGGATTTGAAGGGCTTTTTTTTTTTTAAGCGTCTGCGGAAAAAGCTTCCCACTTTCCAGGGGGACCATAGAGGGCAGTTTTACAAGGCTCATCCCCAGGCTATGGAAGGTTTTGTTCTTGTGAGCGTCAGCGAGGTACCGGTCATCTCACCATTTTGGCTTTCGGGCCCACATGCCTCGGAGGCCGGGGAATGTGTGGCTGGCCGAGCTGCAGCGGGGCCGTGCTGGGGGAGCCGGGGGTACAGCGTGGCCGGGTGGGCCCCAGAGGCCCCGCCGCACTCCCCGCCGCTTGAAAAGCTCCCACAATGCAGCGCTGGCGTCCCAGTTCCGTTACAATGTGTCTGCCGGCGCCGGTGAACCGGCGAGGCGCGGGCGGGGAAGCCGGGAAGCGGCGGCTGTAACCCGAGCGCCGGGCCGAGGGTGGCGCCCCCGCGCCGCTTCTGTCGCGTGCCCAGCCCGCGGCCCGGCGAAGGGGCGGAGCCGCCCGGCCGCCCGGCCCGGCCCCCAGCCCGGCCCCCACCAGAAACACCAGCCCCTAGAGCGAGCCGGCCGCCGACTCCGCTGCCCGCGCTCGTCCGGCGCCCCGCACCGCGCCCGCCGCCCGGCTCCTCGCAGAGCCTCGCTCGCCCGCCAGCCTGCGGTAGCGGCAGCGGCGGCGCTGGAAGCGGCTCCAGCCCCCGGGACAACCGCTGCCCGCGCGCTCGCGTACTCCCGCAGCCCCGCCAGGGGCGTCCTCACTCACCTAGTGCCGGCCGGGGAGGTGCGCGGAGAGGGCGCGCCGGGGAGCCGGGGCCTCCCTCCAGTGCGGCGCGCGCGGCCCACGGAACGCCGGGGAAGGCGGCTCGCGGGGCTGCGCGGCCGGGGACAGGCGCTGGGCGGCCACCGGGCTCCCAGCGCCGCCGCGTTCCCCAGCGCCCGGGCCGGCCCCACGGAGCGGCCTACGGGGGCGGCGCAGTTGCGAAACTGAGTGAGTATGAACTTTACTTCGCGGCCGCGATTTCTAGGCAGCGCCTGGGACCCCTCCCTCTTCGTCCTGAAGCCTCCGTGTTCCCCTTACCTCTCTGCACCTGGGGCTTCTTCGCAGGCTCTGCCCCCACCCCGCTCCCGCCGCGGGTTCCCGCTTTCGCCGGTTCATCTTTGCCCTGTTGTGTTCTCTTTTGCGCGGTCTCTCCGCGGCTCACACGCGTCTGCCTGAAAAGTACGAGCTTGTTCCTGGCTTCTCTGTTTCCTCCCAGTGTCCTTGGCAGGGTAGTTTAGAGGCCACTTTTGTTGAGAAGGGAAATGTATGTCTGGTTTCTCTAATTTTTTTTTTTTACCAGATGGAAATCGGATGTTCGCTTGCCGGGTGGCGGTTTGGTGGAACACTGATTTTTTTTTCCTCTGAAAAAAATTTATTGGTTTATAGGTTTTAAAATTTTGTTTGACTTAACCCTCTTCCGTTCCTATTCTTCCTTGCTGCAAACCCGTTTAGGGAGGGGAGTCCAGAAGAGGGGAGTTTCAAAGTAATTACGTTTTGCAAACTAGAAACTTTGAGAGGGTGAATCGCAGAAAACTTAAGATTCAACCTTAAGGGACGTGAGCTTTGAACGTGAGTCCTTGGTGCGGCACTGGGTCTTAGAAGCCAAGTGCCTGGGCTTGTAATCGAGTGTTGCGTTGTTATTTTAGCATCACAGAGCCGCCTGGTGTTGCTAAACCACTACTTTCTCAGCATCAGATGGCATCTTGAGCAGTGTGCAATATCAGATGTAATTGCGGGTCAGTATTGCCCCTAATCTTTAGGGATTTAGAAGGTCAGTACTTCTGCAGGGCACGTTCCATAGCTAACTTGAACCCGGCAGGTTAGCCCTGTCAGTGTACATCAAAGCATTGCATTAAAAAAAATTACTCCAGCCTGCTGACGGCGGCGAGGAAGAACATTTATGGATTTTCCGGTATAATGTGGCTCAGCAGTTCTTCATTAGATCTGCTGTGTCCCCAGGAAGCACCTTTACATGTGTATATATCTCTGCTTTTCTGTCATTGGATTAACTACTCATTCTGATAGGAGACCCCAGGTAGTTTTTGTTTTGGGGGTGTTGTGGTGTTTTTTTTTTAAATTCTTTCAGTTTTGTGTTGCCAAGAGTTTTTGATCATGTTATGAAGGAACAGAAAATAGGAAGCTTTCTTCATGGATTTTCCGCATCCTGTCCTTTGCCTGGTTGAGGCACTGGTGACTGCCAGCTAACCCTCTGCAGGGAGAGGTGCGGGGTGGACCCAAGAGTCAGGATGCAGGACACAGCACTAGCATTTTTGAGAGTGGTTTGTGTATTTATCTTTTAGCAGGAGTATTAATAGTACTTTTAATTTTCTTTATTTCGATGGGGAACTCTCCCCAAACCATAAGCATTATGTGACTATACCCCACTTTAAGAAGACTGAATATAATTTGATGATGATTCTTTTGAAGGATCAGATCCAACCAAATGTAATCTGTAATGTAGATGACAACACCTTTCAAAAATCTCCCCCTTTCTCATTTTCTGTCCTTTTAAGGGTCTCAAGCTAGTACTTTTAATAATAGACACAATTGGCAGTAATGCACTGAGTTCTTTCTAGGTTCATTGATCAAGCCTAATGTCTGGGTTTCAGTAGCTGAGAGGAACATCAGAGGAGCCCAGAGAGAGAGCAAATCATGGGACTGTGCAGATAGGAACGGCATTTCAGTTTGCTGAAGTGTCAACATGCTGCAGGGAAAAGCAGTTAAAAAGAAGAGAGAATGTTTAACTTATTTTTATGGTGAATGTTTACTGAATTTGGCATTTGGTTGAGATATCAAGGGAGTGCAGATTTTAAATTCTATGCAGCTGTGTTATTTCTTTGCCTAATTTATATTTTTAAGGTTTTGATTTTTTAATGTGGATCTTAATACTTGGTTTTTGTAAAAGCCTTTTGTACTGGGTGGCTTGCATTAATTTTTTACTTGAATGCCTTGGTCATTTTGAGAAATGATTAGTTTTTCAGAGTTCTTACTCATTAATTGATCTGTCTTATGGTGATGTATGTAATGACTTGAAAGTAAAAATATTTGCTGCTGGATATTGTTGCTCTTTTCATTAAGGTTGATTCCTGGCATAATGGCTTTGCTCATTTATTGTAAAACATTAAGGTCCTAGATATCTTGCTAGTATTCAAACATTGCAAAACTCTTTGCAGGTAGAAGTGGAGTGGGGATGGGAGTGGGATAGAAAAACATTATGCATTAAATCTGAGGATTTGGATTTAAAAAATAAGGTATCACCTGTTTTACTTTCCTTGCATGCTAGCTTGGTCCAACCCTAAATAGTCTTCAAAATTCAAAGTGTAGAGATAGTTTCCAAGAACTCTGTATAGTGGGAAGAATGCTTACCCTACAGCCAGCCAGACTTGGGGAGCAGGTGTGACTGCCACTGTGAGCTAACTGAGCCTGGCCATGCTACTTCAACCTCTGTGATCTACAGTTTTCTTTCTGTAAAATGGGGGTACTGCTACTAAAAGGGATGCTAGGATAGGTAGAGCACCTAATATAGTGCCTGGCACATCTTCGTCAATAAATGGCAGCATCTGAGACCTTTCCTGAACTGAGCTCTTGATTACCCAACCTTTCAGATTGTGTCTCCTGTTTTTCATCTCATTCATTCAAAGAGTGGCTCAGGCCAGCAGACTGGAGTTACCCTTCACTCTCTCTTTTGTTCTAATCCCCCTACCCAAGCAGTTTGCCACAAAGTCCTGTCCACTTTTCTGGCAAAATCTCTTTCAAACCTGGCTGATTTTTAGTCTCTATTATGCTACTACCATCCTAGTTCAAGCCACCATTATCTTTTCCTATTGCAGAGGCCACCTGCACACACTATGCACCCTCTGCAGTCCCTTTTCCCACCTGCAGCCTGAAAAAGAAGTCACTGGCTGTTCAAAGTCTTCAAATCTCTTAGGAAGCACATTTATTCTTGGAATAAAATATAAGATCCTCAGCAAGCCTGCAAGGTACTGTGTGACTTGACCCCTGACCTCATCTTCGTCCCTTGTCAGCCACATTGGCAGTTCTCCAGCAGACTCACCTCAGGGCCTTTGCTCCTGCTGTTTGTCTCTTGATTTTAGGACCATCTCATTACTGGTTCATATATCCTCTTTATCAAGTCTTCTCTGAGAAGGCCACCCCTAGCGTCATATAACTTAGAACCCCTTTATTTTCTCCCTCATGGCACAGTCATCTTTTCTTAATATTTACCTCAATTTATAATTATATATTATTTAATTGTTTAATGTCTTTCTCTTGACCTTGAGAGCAGGAATAATGCCTGGTTTATTCATGTCTATACAAAGTGCATGGTATACAAATAGTTAATGTTATAATGAATGAGATAATAATATCAATTTTGTATTTTATCTTGACTGACTTCTTTATCACCGTTAACTCTACTTTTCATAACATAAAAGCCAGACTGGCACTCTCAAGTGTTCCTTCTTGGCTGGTTTTATGTATACTATGAAACAACCTTTGCAGATACCAAGTAAAATTAATGTATTTGGGATCTGTGGAAAATTCATAGTAATAAATTGACACACCTTTTAATTAGTGTTACACTTGTGATTTTCTGTTGTACATAATGCTTTTTCTAAGTACCTCATTAATTATGCTTTTTTCATCAACACAGGATTACTGAAAGAAAAAATCTTACTGTCATGATTTCACACATGTCATGTGATATAACACGTTAGTCCGCAGCTATTGATTGTTCAGTGCTAGATTTCCAAGGAAGGTAGGGGAAACTGTAGTAGAAAAATGAGAGTTACAGTGCTAAGGGTTTTACTGCTGTCCAGCTGTTGATGTGACTTGCATCAATAACTAGATATCTTTGACCATTTAGTTTTAAGGTAAAGGAATACTGTAATTGTTTAAAAATGGGAGCCACCTAGAGGTCTGGAAGTTCTTTTTTCCTTTCTCACTAAAGCATTCCTTGTTACAGCCAAAAAGTCTCATGACTTTCCAAGGCCAAGGAAGGTTTATTAAAGCTTTGAGTAGTTTTGTCATGTGGTTGCCCTTTACACAGCACAGCATTTGATGCACTGTAACTCTGAAGTACTTATGTCTTTATTATTAATGTTTCCAGTCTCTGCTTCTTACATACTCACCCACATTTTCTTTTGACTTGTTTTTTACGACTTTAGTTTCCCTTCAGAATTTTATCTGACATCCTTAGAATAGTCTTTTATAATTTTGTATCTTGCAAGCATTAAGTATACAGGGAACTTGGCAGTTGATTCTGGTTCTTTCAGGATGTATTTGTTTGCACTCAACCTCTGGGTTCCCCCAAAAGTTAGACCTCTGAGTGGTCTGGACCCTGAGTTTTTGCCAGCCAGAAGCTAGATGCCCTTGGGTTGGGAGAGCAGGGAGAATTAAAGCAGCATTTTAAAGTTCCTGTTTATGTACAGAGCTCTGGGCAAAGTGCTCTCACAAAAGAGGTGTGAGTAGTTCACCTGGTGAAAATCATTAAAAGGAAACTTGAACGGTTCATACATTTCCTCCTTCACTCAAAGAAATCATTCCTGTTATACCGTCATTTCCGCACCCTGTATTTTCTAGTCAAGAAGGCATAACAATAAAGATGTTCTCTTTAGCCAGACTCTTTACATTACCTTGGTGCTTATTTAAACCTGATTTTACTTGTATAAAAAAATTAGGAGAGGGGCCAGAGAGGGGCACACCAAGTGATTAGCCTTTGTGGTAGGCCTCTGTGCCCGCAGGACATTTGCATCACAAGTAGCCACCCCTGTGGAGAAGAAGAAAGTCATGGTTAGGAGCCCTTGTTGTTTTTTCCCTCAGGTATGTGTGCTTACTGGTTACTTTGGGTGACCTTGAACGAGTTGCCTGGAGCTTTTTAGCACCAATAATATTTATTACCTACTTATTTCACAGCCTTGCTATAGGATTTAGAAGACTAATTATTGGCA